GTAGTGCCTATTACACTGCGGTGTGTATTTCTTAGGTAGCCCAGAAGGGAGAATGCCTAAACCCAATTAGATGACGCGAGGCTGGGGCACCCCAGAGTCTGCAAGCCTCTTTCATGATTCAATTGGGGACCCTACATTCTAGAGGATATATAAGGACCTGAATAGGAGAACAAGGGTAGTACTAGGCAAACCTAGTACAGGGGGCCATGTACCTTCTAAGTTTGGCATCCCAATCTCGCTGCCCAGGCACCTCCTGCGCCACCCCGCCAACCAACGCCGCCAGCAGCACCCCACCGCGAAGGGCCATAAGCGTCTGTCTGAAACTCTCTAAAACTCGCTCTCCATCCGCCTCTACAACTTTGCCCTGCGCACTTCAGAACCTCTATAGTTATAAGGACGCAGCTAGAAGCTCTCAGATAGGGAAGCAACGTTCTTTGCGCGCATGGAGTTCAGGGTCAGGATTCAAAGGTCAGGGTTCAAAGCTTATAGGGTTCGAGGTTTAAGGTTTAGGCTTTAGGGTGTATATCGGGTTTAGGCCCCAGGGCTACCGCAGCAGCTGATTCACAGCAGGGTGCTGGAAGATGGCAAGCTCTGTGAGCCCAAGCTCAAGAAGCAAGTGAACGGGCAACGGATGATTTCATAAAACTCTCCTCGACAGTAACCCAGAAGAAACCCTAAGCGTACTGGTTTCTTATTGGGGCATTAGGTTGTCTATGTAGTCTTTGAAGCGCTCTGTAAGGGGATATTAATTCACCTAGTTCCCTGATTCCCTACAAAAACCAGGACGCTCTAGGGTTCGGGACGGAAGAGGAGTGGATTGAGGAAGGGCCCATCAACAAATCAAGGGCCATGTAGGGAATAAATAGGCCACATAGAAGTTCAAGACTGTTTCCTTGACAAGCCCGGATATGGGCATAATGTTGAATAAGGCCAAGAAGGGTTTTGGAAAGAATGTTTGAAGGGGTTTAGGGAAACGATTAGACCTCAGGCTGCTCTGGGCAAAGTCACACTGAACAAACGCAACATCACGAAAACAGATCGGGTCAGAATGCCCCAAAACCTCTATAGAAACCCTTGCCAAATCAAAAAAGCGGCACACCCACAGCAAGCGAGAACAAAAACAATCCAACAACACCCCACGAAACTCTGAAGACAAGAACTCCCTAGAACCTCTGAACTCAGCCTCAACAAACCCCCCTCCCCCCTACACCCTCAACCCTAGATCATAAACCCTAAATCCTAAACCCTACACTCTAAACCCCAAATCCTAAACCCTAAATCCTAAACCCTAAACCCTAAACCCTAAACCCTGGGGCTGCCCCAAGGACTCCTCGGAGAGTCCTGCGTTGTCCTCTAGTTGCTGGAGGGCCTCGCCGGTGTTGCTTACCCTAAACCCTAAACCCTAAACCCTAAACCCTAAACCCCAAACCCTAAACCCGAGGGTGCCAGGCAACCTTAGATTCCGGATTCTTGTTGCGAAGGTAGCAAAAGATCCCCGAAAACCCTATAAGCCCTAAACCTACGTACTGCCCTTCAGTCCCTACTAAAGCGCTTCGTGATGAGACCGCGGAAAACCCTGAGCTTAAATCCTGAACCCTAAAACCCTAAATCCTGTAAGCCTATAACCCTATAACCTATAACCCTATAACCTATAACCCTATAACCCTATATCCCTATAACCCTATAACCCTATAACCCTATAACCCTATCACCTATAACCCTAAACCCTAAAGCCCAACGCCTTAACAAGTTCGAACTCCGGAAGCTGCGAAACCCTAGAGCCTCTAAGCTACATGACTCGTTTGGGGGTTTACGGTTTTGGCTTTAGGGTTATAGGGTTATAGGGTTTAGGGTTATAGGGTTTGGGGTTTAGGGTTATAGGGTTTGGGGTTGAGGGTTATAGGGTTATAGGGTTTAGGGTTGCAGGGAAAAAGGGTTATGGGGTTCTAGTGTTTAGGGTTTAGGGCTTAGGGTTTAGGAGCCCTTGCCAGTGAAATCTCGAATTCAAACGAAGGGGCCCATCAGTCGGGTTTATGGCATATGCTGTGAGGCCATGGGTTTGCCCTGGCAGAGTAAAATTCATGCTGGCTACCCGCAACCTTAAACCCTAATCCCTAAACCTTTAACCCTAACCTTTTGCTGCTGAGGGCGGCCTCAACCCAGATAGCATCCACGTCGTTCGTCCTGAGGTTTTGAGTTTCGAGTGTCCGGGACTTGTAGAGTCCCCTAGACCTGACCATTTAAAGGGGGCACCTCTTAACGACCCGAACCGAAAGTTGTGTTTGCAAGTTCGCCCAAAACACGGACACATTCTGTCGCGTTTGGAGACACAAGCTGGTTTTCGGGTGCAAGCAATTAGGCTTTATGTTGTGGCGTTTTCGCTCGGGCTTTGGGCGGGACCGCACGCCCTCAATAACAACACAACGCTAAGACCTTAAAACCCGCAACCCCATATCATAAAATGCTAACCCCGAAGTTAACACGCCGAAACCTAAAGTTTAAAGGCTCATGTTGGTTCTGCTGCATCAAAGAAAGTCTAGGTTACCATCTCCACTTCCAAGACACGACGCTGGAGATGATGAATTTTCCATGTGTCTAATACGGCACTCTTAACCCTGCATCCTACGCACCTTGCAACATTGGGCAATGGGACAAACCCTAAACCCCAAACCCTAAACCCAAAACCCTACACCCCAAACCCTGAGTGCCGGCTTTCCGAACTCCCCTAGCCTGAAACTCTCTCCCCGACACGCTAACCCCTGAAGGGGTTGCGGAATTTAGGATTCAGAGGGTTTTAGGGTTTAGGGCTTAGAGGGCCCTACACCCTAAACCCTAAACCCTAAACCCTAAGCCCTAAGCCCTAAGCCCTAAGCCCTACTAAACCCGAAACTCTAAACCCTAAACCCTAAACCCTAAGCCCTTGTACCCTGCTCTGAGGCTCAGTCCACTCGAGGACCATGGAATGCGCTGGCACCTCGCTACCGGAGGGATCCGGCTGTGTGTACCTGGCTTTTCTTACTGTCGGTTTGTAGGGTTTAGGGTTTAGGGTTTCGGGTTTCGGGGTTTGGGGGGGGGGGGGGAATGAGGTACCCTATATGATCACTTAAAAGGGTAGATATAGGGCCCCAGTTCCCTCATGCCCCCTGCTAACCAACAGTAAGTTTGGGTCTCTAGTGTCAGTCGGACTTTAGGGTTCATGGCGCAAAGGTTTAGGGTTCCGGGTTCCTTCTTAGGGTTTAGGGCTTAGTTAGGGTTTAGGGTTTCGGGTTGAGGGTAACTTAAGAACCCAAAAACCTCCTTTTGTGACAGTGGCCTAAGAATCCTGTATAAGGGGGTTTATGGCAATAGCCTACAAAAACAAGAGGTTTTGGATTCTTAACGTACAGCTTTTGGAGCCACTAGCCAAGACAACAATCTGAAACCCTGACATATCCCCAAACCCTGAACCCTAAACCCCATGGGGGGGAATGAGGTCATCTTTGAAAGGATCTATATAAATACAGGGGGACATAGGGCACCTCATTCCCTCATTCCATACTAAGAACCAGCCAGTGCACCCGTGCTTGGGGGCTTGAGTAGTGTGTTGGAGTGAAGGGAGCCTTGGGGATTGGTGTGCAACCGAGCCAGCGTGACACGACCTGATACTCGGGGCCTGTGTCACCCTCACGTGTGTGGAAGTAGACCTGCCGCGAGGCGATGTATTCCAAGTCGCAGCCAAAGGCTCAAAAGACCCAGTCTGCCCAGGGTTTAGGGTTTAGTGTTTAGGGTTTAGGGTTTAGGGTTCCGGTACCCCTCAATTCAAGCACACGCACCTAGTTGTAAGTGGAGATGAAAGAGCCCTATCGGTTGGCCCGCACCCTCCACGCACACCCAACTACAAAGGGTGAACCCTCGAAACCCTGATTTTCTCAGAAGAGGCTTGAGATACAGGGCTGAACGTGCATTGGTGTAAGAAACCAGAATCCGATACTTCCGGGTACCTAGTTCATGTGAAGGGTTCTAGTAAAGTATAGCGACGAAGGCGTCATGTTTTGTGCACCTAAACCCTAAACCCTAAACCCTAAACCCTAAACCCTAAACCGCTTTCAACCCAAAACGGTAAACCTAAACCCTAAGCACTAAACCCTAAACCCTAAACCCCAAACCCTACACTAACGGGTAAACCCTAAACCCTAAAGCCCCAAAATAGTGCAACACCACTTCAGGGCCATCGCCTAGATAGGCACCATTCGCATTCCATGTCGCGAACCGACCCTCTCGGTGGTTCCGTGCGCGTCGCAGGGGGCCGTGCCCTACCTAAGGCTCCTTTGTAGCACCTTTCTGGGGTACTCTACTAGAATCTCCTCATAGGTACGCGTCTTCATCCCTTGTGCCTAGGCGAGAGCATGCCCCATCATAAACACCAAGAGGATCCTCGATGCTGAAGAACCTCCCAGGTGGCACCATCAACTTTCCTGACTCTCGACTCTCAACGTCAACGTCGGAATGCCCCAAACCCGGAACACCCTAAACCCCAAGCCCCAAACCCCTAAACCGCAAACATCAAGCCCCAAACCCCAAACCCTAAACCCTAAGGCCCTACGCCCTAAACCCACACCAAAGACGTGCGCTGATTGACCATGTCTTGGTCCACCGGCACACAGGCCGAGAATCCTGCTGGTATCACCTGGGTTTAGGGTTTAGGGTTTAGGGTTTTTAGGGCTTATAGGGTGGTAGGGTTTGTACCAACTGGGACCGAGGAAGAGAGCGACGCGTTCCCTAAACCCTAAGCCTAAATCCTAAACCCTTAAAGTTCATGGTTTCACCCTTAACCCACCCTGGATCTCAGGGTTACTTGGAGGTTGCAAGCTTGTGTTTCGACGGACAACGCTGTCATGTACAAAGAAACTGGGCTTAGAGTTTCTCGTGCTGGAGAAAGCCTGAACCCTGTGATTCTCAACTCCTCTGGCCCAGACCCAAACCCGAAACCCTGCTGTTTTTCCGGCAGTATGGCCAGTGAGCTAACCCTCCTCCGCCTCGTTTGCTGAGAGAGAACTCGACTCACTTGTCGTCTCTGACTCCAGCGCGCAACTCCGGCGATGTGGCAGGTCGCCTGGATAGGGTTTAAAAGGTTAGGGTTTAGGATGTTCCCCCTTATACTAACAGTCCTTAATAGGGTATATAATAAAGGGGGGGGTACTCTAATCCCTACTAAGGATTGTTAGTAAAGGGGAACATCCCAAGGTTAGGGTCATGAAACCCTAAGCCGCTCTGAACTGGGAGGCCTCTGGGGTGGGGGCTTCGTCTTCCAGAGTCTTACAGTTGGCTAACCTGGACTTGGGACTTGCAAGGCAATACTAAACCCTAAACCCTAAACCCTAAACCCTAAGGCAATAGCCCCAAAAAGAACTGCACCCAAACCCCGAACCCGGGATCAGCCCCCTACCTGGAGGGATGAACTTGTCTCTTTGCCTGGTAAGGACCTGGCAACCCAGCAACCGCATTACAGTAAGGCTGCCCTTTTTCGGGTTTGGTTACTTTTTGGGTTTGGTCTCCCCTAAACCCTAAACCCTAAACCCTAAACCCTAAACCCTAAAACTCTTTTTGAAGGGAGCCTGGAAGCCCCCCAAGAAGGGCCAAAAGGGAGCCACTGGGCAAGCCGATGCCCGACAGGCGTCAGGGCGGAGCAAGAGGAAAGCAGAGAACAATGCAACAAGAAGCCGAAACAACAAGTCGAGAACGCACATACATTAACAAGTGCATGTATATGAATAATAATATTTATGTAAATATAAATAAATAAACATATATATATATATATACGGCAGGACACTAGGCAAGCAAAAACACAAGACACACACAGACGTCCTAAACAACTCGCCTTTCATAGCTTTTGCTTCGCACATTTCGTGCTTTTTACGCTTGTCCTTTTCTTTAATGGGTGTTCGTTTTTTGTCTTGTCTCGTTTTGCTTTGCACGGTTCGTGTTGCTTTGCGCTTTTCCTGCAGTTCGCGCATGTTTGCTTGCGCTTTCAAGAAGCGAAGACGGGGGTTGCAAGACATCCTGTGAACTGCAGCAGCAAAACCCACATGGGTAGGCCCCACTACAACCCGGGGTTTAGGGTTTAGGGTTTGGGGTTTAGGTTGTAGGGTTTCGGGTTTAGGGTAAACCCCTAAAAATCCTGGATATCCCGAAGCACAGAAACACCCCGAAAACCAGATCTGAAAAGTCCCAACTCCATGTGGCCCAAGGTACTTGGGATGAGCCTGCTGCCTCGAGCAAGAAAGAGATGCAACAGACCTCAGTTACAGGGTTCTTAAAGGAGGGGGGTACAAGGGGGGTATATAACCCAAGGCTCCCTAGTACTCCCCACTACTCCCTAAGGCTCCCTAAGCTTCCCTAACTTTAGGGACTCAATGTTAATACGCAAAGAACAATTCAGGTCTAGGGATTTTGGCCCTCAGGCCTATGGATCTTAACCCTGCACCCTAAAACCCTGACCCTCGACCCTAAACCCTATACTAAACCCTAAACCCTAAACCCTAAACCCTAAACCCTAAACCCTAAACCCTAAACCCTAAACCCTAAACCCTAAACCCTAAACCCTAAACCCTAAACCCTAAACCCTAACCCTACACACTCAGAACTCGATTCGTCTCCAAGGGGCAAGGTCCGATAGCCGGAATCGCTGCGAGCCGTCGCATGCCAAGGCCTTCGAGCTGAGATTCTTCGGAAGGGTTTAGGGTTGGTTTAGGGTTTAGGGTTTCGGGTTTAGGGTTTAGGGTTTAGGGTGTCCTTCGGCGACAAGCAAACAACGGAACACCAGAGAATCCCGAAGTTCTATTTTGCCCTACATTCGGCCCCAAACCCCTGTCTGCGAGTTATCTGAGCAATGGGAGTGCAGCGGAGGGGCAGGCGAACAATAAGGTGACGCTGTAGATGGTCGTAGGCAGGGCAAACCATGCGCGGTTCGGACTGCTCCTCTGCATGGCCCTCATCTCCCAAACGACCACGAGGGGGCAGCCAATCATGAGATAGAGAACAGCCATTTTCGTCATCATCTTCAAAATGAAGCAGCGCTCATCAACAGGACTCCGGCAAAGTATCACCAGCAGAGCAGGCCGGGTAAGAAAATTGATGCACTGGAGAAGAATGCCGTGCCACTCTATGTGTTCAACGAAAGCGTCAACACAAAGTCGGATGAGTGCAAGCAGGGCGGTCGAAAAGGCTATGAAGGGAACTGCAACTTCGGCAGAGCCCGCGTGTTGAATGTCCACACCTTTGCTTGCAACTTGCCGAAGGGTCGGTGACGACATCCCTGCCTTGAGCAAGACATGGATGGCGTAGTCCACAGCACCTGTCTTCTGGCCAATCTCCTCAAAAATCCGCGTCGCATCAGCTGCCTGTGAACATGCGGCACGTTCGATGGTGGCTTGATAGCCACGGCTGAGTTGCTGTGCCTCCTGCTTTCTCGTGAGGCTGTTGGTGCGATCGAATTCCTGCAATAAGAAGAAAACTGCCATTGTCAGAATTATGATTCGCTGCTCCACATATGGCACGTCATGACAAGCAAAAGCCTGAAAAGCACAGTGTCCGCGAACTGTATGCCACTGAAAAAATAGCGAGCCACAGACCAAGGCCCCAATCCTGTTTACTGTCGTGCGACAAGTGTTGTCCATCACAATGACACTAGACAACGTCAGCAGCGCGAGAATCCACAACAAGGCCGCTCTGATGTCGACATGACAGAACTTCAAGGCAGCGCCACACAGCAGGCCCCAGAGTCCTCCAAGCGTAAGGTGCATGCAGGCTTAGAGACATATCTCAGGATTGAGGACACACCCTTAACCCCAAATTTTGGGGCCTTAATAATTAGAACAGGGTTTTGGGTGTTATTATATTTATAAAGGGACCATAAGGGAATACTATTAGTAAGCATTCCAACCCCTATAGTACTTAAAAAATCCCGGTTATGCCCCATAAGCTCTACACCTGAATCCTATTTCTCGCCCCTAAACTGGGATCCTACTAGTCCAGCTGGCAGGTGCTCTAGGCTAGGGCCTCTTTTCGCCGGCCCCTATATAGTACGGCACCCTTTAAGAAGGACCCCCCCAAAGAAGACCCCTAAACCCTAAACCCGAAACCCTAAACCCTAGATCCCCCAATTCAGAAAACTACCCATGTAGAGTACGGGTTCAAGATCAAGGATCGGCCTCGCTCAGGTTCGCTGTGCGCATCCGCTCTAAGGGAAACCTAGGGTTTCCCTAAACCCTAAACCCTAAACCCTACATCCACATGAAGGTCCCACATGGTCGGAAACCGCCAACCCAGTCTGGCGACTCTTTGGAGCGAGGGTGGCCCTCTGCTAGCGCAGGACCAAGTTGCGCCGGTGCTGTAGGCCCAAGAGGGCTTTGTTCAGGTTTGGGGGTTAGGGTATAGGGTTCAGGGTTCAGGGTTTAGGGTTTAGGGATTGCAAGGGGTTAGGGTTTAGGATTTGGTATTTGGGATCCGGAATCCTGAGCTCCAATTCGACTCCCTGATCGGCGAGGTCCCTCCGTTTAAGGTTTAGGGCGTAGGGTCGAGGGTTTAGGGTTTGGGGTTTAGGGTTACATAGGGGTTTGGGGTTTGCCAGGAGTTTATAGTTGGGAGGTTAAGGTTTCAGGCCTAGGGTTTAGGCTTTGGGGCTCAGGGTTCGGGTTCAAGGTTTTAAGGATTGCGGTTTCAGGCAGTCCTGCCAAAATCGCCCAGGTCAGGGCATCTGCGATTTGTTTCCTGCTCGAAGCTTGTGCCACCAAGATGGTTTTACCTCGGAGGTAAAGAGGTAAGTTGAAAAGGGTGCCCTTCTTGGTGTAAAAGGGGCCTACGAAATAACCGAAGCCCTGAAGAACCCAAACCCTAAAACATGGGAATAAGGGCCCAGCGAAAAGAGAGACAAAAAGAGGAGGGTTCAGCCTCACTGTCTGTCCTGGACAGGCCAACGGATATTGGTACTCGCAAAAGGGATGGCCGCACTCAGACCACGTTTAGTCCTTTGCCCCGGCCAGAAAGAAATTCCTGCTCCGCTCAGTTCGGGTTTCTGGAAGCCCCCGCCTAGGCCCTTCGGGCCCAGAGCCCCCCGGGCCTACCCTCCTAGGCCCCCCAACTGCCGCATCCGGGCTTGAGGCCCTTCTTCTGCGGCCTTTCACAGGGGACCTGAAACCAGTAGGCAGGCAACTCGCAAGAAACGCTTCAATAGGCATCGCGCCCTGACATGTTGAAGGCCCGAAAAGGGCCGAGGCTACCCCGAACCGCAGCTTGAGCCCTAGCCCTGCAACTTCAACAATAGAAATATGCATTGGCGGAAAAAAATCAAAGGGTTTCCCTGACCTTCAAGTAAATAAGGGCCTCTACGGGCCCTGACACGCCGAAGGCCCGAAACGGGCCGAGGCTACCCCCAACCCCAGCTTAAACCCGAGCACCGCAACTTTCAAAAAACAGAAACAAACATCGGTGCATAAGCAAGTCAACTCAATAAACCCTAAACCCCCTAAGGGTCCACGTACCTCATTATTATGTACTTGGGCCCCAAAGTCCCTATATAGGAGGTCCCTTAAGGCCCAAGTATTCCCTATTTAGGTACATGGACCTTTAGGGCCCTAATAGAGTATAGTTTGGGTGGCCGGGGTGGGTTGACGGGCACCGCGAGCGCCCCGGCGTGTTTCACACCCTCCCCTGACACACCCTAAGGCCTAAACCCTAAACCCTGAACCCTGAACCCTAAACCCTAAACCCTAAACCCTAAACCCTAAACCTAGGAAAGGAAACTGAATCACGCCAAGGCTGCCCTCTTCGTGAGCTCGGTAGGCTTCATAGCCACACCAGAGCCTAACCGTAGGATGGGCCATTTTGAGTGCCTTCAAATCCCCCCCAGAATCAGCCCTAGAGGGTTGAGGGTTGAGGGTCTAGGGTTTAGAGTTTAGGGTTTAGGGTTCGGGGTTGTGGGGTGGAGGAGCCCACCCTGGGTATCCACAGAAGCATCATTCGCGCTCTAGCCGGAAGGCTTGCTGGCGTCTTCCTGCTGAGCCCTGAGCACTTATTGAAAACCCCGAAAGACCCCCGATAATACATCCTGCCTGTACAAAACGCACCAAAGCCCCGAAGGGTTTAGGGTTCAGGGTTTCCACAACTAACTACAAGGGAGGTGCGCCGTCAACATGATAAAGCCTGCCGCCAGAGTGCCAGGATGGGCTGCTGTACCCTCTGGCACATGGCAAAAAGGCCCTGTAAAGGGTTGAGTATGGGCACTATAAGGCCTAATCGCCCATCCTGGCATCTAAGCATGCAGAGTGTGCCATGGTCGATGGCCCGCCCTCAGGGGTGGACCCCGAACGAGCCAGGTGCTCCAGGCCCATCCCCGGACAAAAAACAAAAAATGCAGGGTTTTGGCCCTGGCTTCCCAGCGCTTTGGGATGGCCCTAAACTCTAGGGCAACCAAAGGCCCCCCCGCCTTGTGTAAATGCTGCAATGGCGGTTCGGCACGACGAGGACGTACTTCGAGACCCGGAGTGCCAGCGCAAACGGGGAGCTGCTGGGAGACTGCAGCAGGGCACCGATGTCCAAGTTCCTTAATTTTAGCTGGTCCAGCGCTAGGGATCGGACCGTACTTAGGGTTGCGTTTAGGGTTTAGGGTTTAGGGTTTAGGGTTTAGGGTTTAGGGTTTCGGGTTTCGGGATTAGGGTTTAGGGTTGCTCATAGGGCATGGGGAACGAACCCAACTTGTTGGTAGGATTTGGGAATACCAAGGAAACTGCACGTTCATCTACTGGACATGTGCTACTGAGGTTCCTAGACCCAAGAGAGTTCAACCTAGGAACGAAATAGGTGTTTTTTTTTCATAAAGGAACCTAAACACTAAAAAGGGAACACAAGCCGACTCTGGGTCCGAGGTTCTGTGGGTTGGCCAGCATGCAGCACCAGGCGTGTCTTGCTCGCGTGGGCCAGGAGTGCAGCACCTTTGCCAGGAACTCGAACACACCCTCCTGCCAGGCATGGCTGATGAACACATCGCAGTCCAATCCTTCGTTGGCTTCAAAAGGAACTTCAGCCAAGTTATAGTGTGGAAGGGTGTAAAAAAAGATTTCCTATTCTGACAAGCATGCGATGGTTTCCTTCTCATGGCGACTGAAGCTTCAAGTTTCCTAAGCCCTAGACCTTACACCTTAAACCCGAAGACCAAGACCCTAACCCTTAAGTTAACAGCAGCCCAGAAGCCGTTCGGGTGCCTCATCAGAGCCCAGCTCACTTTGCCAGCCTGCTCCGTCACCGGCATGATGTGCTGTTCAGTCACCGTGTAGATGCTGGGCCCATAGAGCTCGTCAAAACCTAACGTGGGGGGGGGGGGGGGGGGGGGGGGGGGGGCCCCGGGGGTTGGGGGTTGAGGGTTCGAGAATCAGACTGGGGGCCAATGATGCGAGAAGGAAGCACCTAACAAAGAAATGAGGATACTACTACTACTACTACTACTACTACTACTACTACTACTACAACTACTACTACTACTACTACTACTACTACTACTACTACTACTACTACTACTAGTACTACTACTACTACTACTACTACTACTACTACTACTACTACTACTACTACTACTACTACCACTACTAAAACTACCACTACTACCACCACCACCACCACTACCACCTAAAAAAGAAATGAGGATACTACCGGGCATCCAAGAAGCACTCCCTCTCCTCTTCGCAGCCCTTGGGTCGAATCTCGCCAGCCTGGATGGCCATCCGCACCTCTCGACGCCTTACTTGAAGGTTCATGGTACTTACTAACCAAATATAACTGTACTTATAACCCTACTTATACTACCCCTAAAGGGCCTTATAGGGGTTATCCCACTTAGAAGTAGGGTTATAAGCCCAGTAATAATTGGTTAGTAAGTACCATGAACCTCCAAGTACTTGCTGACTTCATAAAGCCCCCCCTGCCCTTAATTGGTGTCCCTTGTTATATAGCCCTTATCTTAGTTGCTGAGTTCATAAAGCCCCTCTGCCCTTAACTTGTGTCGCTTGTTACAACCCTTGCCTTACTTGCTGACTTCATAAAGCCCCCCCCTGCCCTGAACTTGTGTCCCTTGTTATGTAACCCTTATCTTAGTTGCTGAGTTCATAGGCCCCCCCAAAAAAGTGCACACTTTCAGTTCTATAGGAGATTCTATTCTCCCAACGAGTGTACAGTGTACTCACTCAGCAACTAAGACGCAGGTACTTCAGGTCCGCGCGGGTCACGCACCAGCGGTCGGGTGAGACAGACCTGGGATGGCGCCTATAAACACCCTCTTTAAACATATATTCCGGACTATGATCCTCTTAACGCGTTAAGGGAATATATAACCTGAAGATGATCCTCTAGAACCCATAAAGGGAATATATATATATATAACCTGAAGATGATCCTCTAGAAACCATTAAGGGAATAGCATAAGAGGTCCCAAAGAGCCAAGAGACTCGTGCAACGCCATGGCCTCCAGTGTCGAGTACCTCCTCCGGGGGCGTGGAGCCATGCGGCTCACCCTGGAGCTGCCTTTCAGTGCAGTAGAGGGTCGCCTCGCCTTGAGCGATGCGACTCAGACTGCACGTTCTTGCACTTGAGACACAAATTGCGCCAACCTTCCCTCGGGACTGAAAGGTCCGCGGCCGTACCCGCCAAAGCTTGATAATGATCGGGGAGGGGGGGGGGGGGGCAGCAGGAAATCACAACAACCCCCCAGCGTGGACCAGAAAACGCCCATCGATGCAATCGACAACCTTACGCCCCCCAAAAGCACGAAACAGCTCAATCCCCAAACCCTGAACCATGAACTCCGAAGCTTCCAACCCTCAAAAACCCAGGTCACCGCAACTGAAGCCGCCGATCAAGACTAGCGGTGGATCAGTACTATGGTACTTAGAACCAATTATAGCTGTACTTATTAACCATATTGGGGCACTTAGGGGGCTTATAAGTGGGTTACAAGTACAGTGATAATCAGTTACTAAGTACGCCTACACCCTAAACCCTAAATCTAAACCCTAAAACCTAAACCCTAAACCCCTAAACCCTAAACCCTAGCCAATAAGAAGTACCATGAACCTCCAAGTAGGAGCCCCCCGAAGTGATCCTAACTCAGCGAACCGCACACTAGCGTTATGGGCTCACCACAGGTGAAGCTGTTAGGGTTTAGGGTTTAGGGTTTAGGGTTTAGGGTTTAGGGTTTAGAACCCCTTTGTGATTCTTTTTAAGTGCTCCGGCCCTACGCCTACTCCCGAAACTCACTTCGGTCGGAAAGCTGCTTTTTCAGGCCTCAGGCCATATGGGGGTTTCCGATAATAGAGGTACCCTCTTTGGGGGTCACTTTAAGGGGGCTTCTATTCTATTTGGGGTCTGAAAGGGGCACCCCTGGTAGGATTCCTTTAAATGAAGGACCCCAGTAAGGTACCCCCAATGTCGTAAACCCCCATCTGGGGCAGTGTGCTATGGCTCGTCCGCCTCATTCGCTGAAAGCGAGCTGTGAGAACTCGAGTCGCCTGTCGCCTCGGACTCCGCTGTGCCACTCCGGCCTTGGTTAGGGTTTAGGGTTTAGGGTTTAGGGTTTAGGGTTTAGGGTTTAGGGTTTAGGGTTTAGGGTTTAGGGTTTAGGGTACCCTTTTTCGTGTTGGTTACTTTGTAAGGGAACCTTGACCAAAAACAAAAAGGAAAAGGGCACCACTGGGTTAACCAAGCGGCAACACCGCAGGTCGCCTGAACTTTCAGAATCCCCTAAACCCTAAACCCTAAACCCTAAAACCCCTAAGCCCTTGAACCGTCAAAGGTGCTAAGGTGCTAGGCCAGAACCAGCCCGAAAGGGGGTTTAGGGTTTAGGGTTTAGGGTTTAGGGTTTAGAGGGTCACAGTTCTAGCATTCATAGTCATTAGGGGGTTCCAGGCTTAGGAAAAAACCCACCCGCCCAAAGAATCCCATAACATTAAGAAAATACAAAATTTTCATCCAAGGACTTGCCTTAATCGACGAAGGACTTGGCTTATTCGACGAAGGACTTGGCTTATTCGACGAAGGACTTGGCTTATTAGACGAAGGACTTGGCTTATTCGACGAAGGACTTGGCTTATTCGACGAAGGACTTGGCTTATTCGACGAAGGACATGGCTTATTCGACGAAGGACTTGGCTTATTCGACGAAGGACTTGGCTTATTCGACGAAGGACTTGGCTTATTCGACGAAGGACTTGGCTTATTCGACGAAGGACTTGGCTTGTTCGACGAAGGACTTGGCTTAAATTCAGTAGGGTTTAAATAAATAAATAAATATATATATATATATGTGAAGAGAGGTTTAGGGTTTAGGGTTTAGGGGGGTGGGATTTTCGGAAGAGTCTTGCACTTGGCAGCCTAAACCCTTCCAGCATTTCAGATGTCAACGCCCAGCCCCTCAAACAAAAACAAGCCGCAGCCCGAATCGGAGTCAGTCCCCTGCGACACCAATATACTATATACCCCGACAGCATAGCACCTCCTAACATTTGACTTTCTGAGGGGTTCGGGTTTAGGGTTGAGGGTTGTAGGTTTAGGAAGTTTAGGATCCGTCCTTACCCCCCATACAAGGTCGCCACATAGGGCTGATGTGAAGGTTTCTCAGCGGATGCGACAGGAGGGCGAGAGTCATTAGAAGCCTAAAAACCCAAACCCTGGAACCCCTAAACCCCAAACCGTAAATCCTAAGCCGCAAACCCTGAAGCCTGAAATCCTCAACAACAAACCCTATAAACCCTAAACCCTCAACCCTAAACCCTAACGCAAGCTCTTTGTGGCCCGGGTGCCTGGGATAAGGCTGCTGCCTCGAGCCAGAAAGAGCTGCAAGAGACCTTCAGGGAGCTGTTGACTAACTTCAGCTGCAGGCCTCCTACCTTAAGAACCCCCCACAAAACTTTCTTACTTTTGTAGGGTATTACTATGAATCTCCTTGCCTTTTATAGGTTTCTCTTAGGAACCCCAGAGACCTTCTTAGTTTTGTAGGTTATTACTATACATCCACTTTTATCGGATTCTTGGGCAACCTACCGAAAAGCAGGTTTTGGGCTCCTCAGGTAACCTAAGTTGAGAAATTTCAGGGCCGGAACTTCCCCTAAACCCTCAACCCGAAACCCTAGACCCTAGACCCTAAACCCTACACCCTAACTTCACCCTAACTTCGGGTGGCCCCCTAAGTAAGTTGCGGAGGAAAGAGAGCACCTAAGATTGGGATCGCATACCCCCCCCCCCCCCCCCCCAAATTCTTCTCTGACCGCTGTTCAGGTTATGTGGACCCTAAGCCCTAAAAGCCTTAAAACCCTCAAACCCGATGCACTGTAGGGTTTAGGGTTTAGGGTTGAGGGATGATAGGGTTGATAGGAATTTAGGGCTTAATCCTTTGGGGGTTCAATAGCCCCTCCCCCCCCCCCCCAGGGCACCAGGTCCGATAGCTGGAATCGCTACGAGCCGCCGCATACCGAGGCCTTTGAGCCGCGCGTCTTCGGACTTGTTCCGGCTTTGGGCTTTAGGGTTTGAGGTTTGGGGTTTAGGGTGTACATCCCAGACCGAAAACCCTCAAAAGACCCTTGGAATTCCTAAACCCTTGCTGGAGTCTTCCGAGGTCTCTTTGAGGGTTTAGGGTTTAGGGCTTAGTACAAGCGGAAGCCCCCTGGCTATGCTACCTGTAGTTTGGGGACTTATTCCCTATAACACTTCTTACAACACAGAGGGGGCCGCTACCCCTACTCGTGCCCTAAACATAGACCTCTGTATGATAATAGGAAGCCTAAACATATGCCTCCGCATGATACCAAGAAGCCCAACAAGGGGGGCCCTCATGTGGGGGGGGGGGGGGGAGGGGGGCGGAACTAATCTTAAGGAGCGTTTTCTGCGTACAGGCTTTGTCAACTCTGAGGTTTGGGGCGCATCCTCATTCTTGGGTGCAAGAAAGAGAACATCCTCGCAAAGAAACCTATAAGGGGTCGGGTTTAGGACTTCGGGGGTTTAGGGCCATAGGGTTGGAGGAATTCTGCTTGGGGCTAGGGGTCTGGGGTTAAGGGTTCAGCAAGTTCCCTGAGCCCCGCGAAGTGCAGATGAGGGGCACGCGAAGAAGAAGATGACGCTGTAGATGGTTGCAGGCAGGGCAAACCACGCGCGGCTTGGCATCCGCATCTCCGCGGCCCTCGTCTCCCAGAAGACCACGAGGGGGCAGGCGATCATGAGATAGAGAAGAACGAGCTTCGTCATCATCTTCAGGATGAAGCATCGTTCATCCACAGGACTCCGGCAGAGTATCACCAGCAGAGCAGGTCGGGAAATGAAGCTGATGAACTGGAGAAGAGTGTTGTGCCATGCCAGATGGAGGAGGAGAGTGTCAAAGCAAATTCGGATAAGTGTAAGCAGGGTGGTCGTGAAGGCTATGAAGGGAACTGCAACTTCGGCAGAGCCCGCGTGTTGAATGTCCACACCTTTGCTTGCAACCTGCCGAAGGGTCGGTGACGACATCCCTGCCTTCAGCAAGACATGGATGGCATAGTCCACAGCAGCCGTCTTCTGGCCAATCTCCTCAAAAATCCGCATCGCATCAGCTGCCTGCGAGCAAGCTGCACGTTCGATGGTGCCTTGATAACCACGGCTGAGTTGCAGCGCCTCCTGCTTTGTGGCGAGACCGTTGGCACGGTCGAACTCCTGCAGTAAGAAGAAGCCTGCCATTATCAGAATGATAATTCGCTGCTCCACATAGGGCATGTGACAAGCGAACCCCTCAAAATCATATTGTCCGCGAACCGTATGCCATTGAAAGAATAGCGAGCCACATACCAAGGACCCAATTCCGTTCACTGTCATACGACACGTGTTGTCCATCGCAATGACACTAGACCATGCTGCCACCAAGACAATCCACAGCCTTGCTGTTGATAGTATCCCAAAACCCTAAACCCTAAACCCGAAATCCTAAACCCTAAACCTATATATACCCTTTAAGGGACCTCCTTCCTTACTGACCAACAGTAAGCAGCAGGGCCGGGCTGATGTCGACATGCCACCGCTTCATGCCAGCGCCCCACAGCATTCCCACGAGTCCTCCCAGTTCAGGGTTTAGGGTTTAGGGTTTAGGGTTTAGGGTTTAGGGTGGAAGGACGAATTTCCCATGGGTTCCCCTACGACGCCCCTCTATACTAACCCCCTAGGTTTCCCCCCTCCCCCCCACCCCCCCCCCCCTTAAATGACCTTGATCAGGCTGAATATTCCCTAAATAGCCTTTATTGGGGGAACCTCGGGGGGGGGGGGGGGGTGGTAGTATAGAGGGGGGTAGTAGGGGGAACTTGAGAGCATGCCTTAGACTTCAAACTCTAAACCCTGTAATACCCAAATCAAAACCCCCGCCTGATTTTTCGGGCTTAGGGCTCCAGATCTGTCTTTATCAGCAAACCCTATAAACCCTATAAACCCTATAAACCCTATAAACCCTATAAACCCTATAAACCCTATAAACCCTATAAACCCTATAAACCCTATAAACCCTATAAACCCTAAACCGGAGGCCGGGGCATCCTGCGAACGCAGGGTCTTTGGGGAAGTGGGTTCTTGTACCCAAAACCCGAAGTCTGTGTGGCTTGAACAAGCTGGGTTCCCGACTCCTGAAATACGCAGGGTTTAGAGGCTTACTTGGAGGTTCATGGTACTTATTAATCAATTATAACTGTACTTATAACCCACTTATAAGCCCCTTAAGTGCCCTAATATGGTCATAAGTACGTAGGGTTTAGGCTTTAGGAGCTTAGGGTGTAGGGGCTTAGGGCGTTTTGCGACTCAGGGTCTCTCTGGGGCTTGAGGAGGTTCAGGGCGGGTTTGGGTTCTAGATTCCAACCTTAGGGTTTAGGGTTTAGGGTTTAGGTTTTAGGGTTTCTGGGCCCAACTCCAGTCCCTGAGCACTGGAGGGGAACCTTCAGCTCCTGTCGTTTAAGCTTTGGGGTTTGGGGCTTAAGGGTTAAGGGTTCAGGGTTTAGGGCTTGGGGTCTAGGGATACTGGGGGGCAGTGTTTCGGGTTTCAGGTTTGCAGTTTAGGGTTTAGGGTTTAAGGGATAGATTCTAGGGATATTGGGGGGTGTGGGGGTTAGGGATTGGGGCGGTCCTGCTAGAATCGCCCATGTTAGAGCGGCTCTGATCTGTGTTCCCCCCGAAGCTTGCGCCACCAAGATGGTTTTACCTGGAGTTTCAGGCGGCATGATGGGGAGCTGTTGGCTGACGCAAGGCAAGCAAAAGCAACAACAACACAAGCAGACCAATTTGTGCCCAGATACCCTCCTCATGAGCCCGGTAGGCTTCATACCCACACCACAGCCTGACCGACAGAAACCCTAAACCCTAAACCCTAAACCCTAAACCACGACTCAGGCTCCCACTAGCCCCAGGCAACACTATGCTTGCAGCTGTTTTCTTGCGAAGTACTTCAAACAACAAAGGCCTCAAAACCCTTCGCGCCCTGAGAATCGAACAGAACAGACCCTGAAGCCTCAAACTCCAGGCATACCTCTGCACGCACGCACCCAGCAAATCATCTTGACCCCACAGCATTGAATGACAAGACGATGCGTGTTTTGACATGTCGACTGCCCCCTTCAAACCACTAAAGCCCTAGAGCTTGAAACCCATAACGCACCCTAAGCCCCAAAACCCTCACCCTAAAGCCCCACCTGGCGTAACCCTGTGCCCTAAACGAAGCACCCAAAAGCCTGAACCCGAAACCCTAAACCCCGAAAACCCTCAAGCCCCACCTGGTGTAAATGCTGCGATGGCGGTTCGGCACGACGAGGACGTACTTCGAGACCCGGAGAGCCAGCGCAAACGGGGAGCTGCTGGGAGACTGCAGCAGGGCACCGATGTCCAGGTTCCTTATTGGGGTCGCGGTCTCATTATATATATATATATGTATTATTGTTATTCTTACATATCAATGTATGTAACATGTATATGTTATATATATATATGTAGATGTAGATACATATGGAACTGTGTAGTATAAGATGGCGCAGGGAACCCCAAAGATCAGGGCCCCACGTAGTTTTGATTTCGAGATGACGGGCTGGTTCTAGGGTTTAGGGTTTAGGGTTTAGGGTTTAGGGTTTAGGGTTAGGGTTTAGGGTTTAGGGTTGAGTTTCTGTGGGTTGGCCAGCATGCAGCACCAGGCGTGTCTTGCTCGCGTGGGCCAGGAGTGCAGCACCTTTGCCAGGAACTCAAACACACCTTCCTGCCAGGCATGGCTGATGAAAACATCGCAGTCCAATCCTTCGTTGGCTTTGAAGGAACTTTAGCCAAGTTATCGCAATGTGGAACGTTGTAAGAAAGAAGAGATTTCCGACCATTATGATAAGCATGCTATGGTTTCCTTCTCATGGCGGCTGAAGTTTCCTAAGCCCTAGACCTTACACCTGAAACCCTAAGACCAAGACCCTAACCCTTAAGCTAACAGCAGCCCAGCTGCCGTTCGGGTGTCTCATCAGAGCCCAGCTCACCTTGCCGGCCTGCTCCGTCACGGGCATGATGTGCTGCTGAGTCACCGTGTAGATGCTGGGCCCATAGAGCTCGTCAAAACCTAAAGCGGGGTGGGGGGGGGGGCCTTCGGGTTTAGAGTGTGGGAATAAAGCATGGAACCGAGCAAATGACGCAGCTGAAACAAGGGCAGATACTACTGGGGCATCCTGGAAGCACTCCGTCTCCTCATCGCAGCCTTTGGGTTGAATCTCGCCAGCCTGGATGGCTGTCCACACCTCTTGCCGCAGGTACTTCAGGTCTGCGCGGGTCACGCACCAGCGGTCGGGTGAAACAGACCTAGGATGACCCTTAAACCCCCTGACATTCTCTTGAAATTATTCAGGGAATATGCAACCTGAATATGATCCTCTTAAACCCATTAAGGGAATAGCATAAGAGGTCCCAAAGAGCCTAGAGACTCATGCAAAGCCAGGGCCTCCAGTGTTGTGTACCTCCTCGTGGATCGAGGAGCCATGAGGTCACCCTGCAAGCCTTCCAGTGCAGTGGAAGGTCACCTCCCCTTGAGCGATGAGACTCAGAGTGTCTGCTCTCAATTCTGAAATGCTTGAGACGAGAGACTCAAACTGCACGGCAGCGTTAAGACCCTTAAGACTGAAAAAGGGAAGCCTCCTGTGTTGAATAGGGGAAGTGCTGCTACGTCTTCTACACCACCAGAGGCTGGAGACATCGACGGGGGGGGGGGGGGGGGAAGCAAACACTAAACCCTGAAATTCGGGGGGGTGGGGGGGGGGGAGCAACCCTAAACCCTGAAACCGCAATACAGCCACAAAATCGAGCCGCCAAAGCCCTGACCCCTCGGACCCCATCCTAAAGCACTTGCACCCTTAGGCTCGAGAAGATGCAAGACGAGTGTAGGGTTTAGGGTTTAGGGTTTAGGGTTTAAGGTTTAGGGTTTAGGATTTAGAGTTTAGGGTTTAGGGTTTGGAGACGAGTCCAGTCTCGTAACGTGTTGGTTAAGGTGTGCGGTTTCGGACCAAGATTCTGGGGCTCAGCCTGTGTCCCCGCCCTGCCCAGCTTACACCAATCCAAGATCCGGCCGCACCAATCCAAGATCCGGCCGTGAAATCTCACACCCCAGAAGGAAGGAAACTACACGGACCGAAAGCGCCCCTGAATGGCGCCTGAAGGCGTTTAACGAGCGTATTTCGGATGTGTCCTCACGGGGGGGCGGGGTAGGGTGTGGGACGGAGTCTTGCCTTTGGGGCCCCCTAAACCCCAACCCCTCAACCAACCCTGAATCCCCTCAATCCCAAACGTCATGCCCTGACCAAATAGGGCAGATGGTGGGCTTGACCTGAAACGTGGGACCCAAACCCTAAACCCTAAACCCTAAACCCTAAACCCTAAACCCTAAACCCAAAACCCTAAACCCTAAACCCGAAACCCTAAGCCCTACCAAAAAGCTCAAAGTTTAGATCATCCCCTGGCTTAATAGGTCTGATCCGCAGGTGTGCTGGTGCTGGGGTTCAAGCTTTCGGGTAGGAATTGGAAAGTAGGGTTCAGATTTAGGGTTTAGGGTTTAGGGCTTAAGGTTTAGGATTTCAAGTTGTTAGGTGTTAAGGGCCTCAAAAAAGAGTTGCAGTTATAAAGTTCCGAGGCAGCAACACCTGGGTGGAGATCCTCTGGTAGATCCGGGTCAGGCAGATACCTGGCAAAGTCTTCGCCGAACCTCCAACACCCCTCCCAAACCCTGAACCCTGAACCCTGAACCCTGAACCCTGAACCCCGAACCCTGAACCCTGAACCCTAAACCTAACCCTAAACCCTAAACCCTAAACCCCTAATCCCTAACACCCCAGCAAGCCCCAAAAAGTCCGAAGTTCTTACCAAGCTGCACCGACCCCCCCTAGGCTCTCCCAAAAAGACAAAATCCCAATCTCCACCTCAAGAACTCCCAGAGCTTCCTTTTTTGCATAGGTTTGGGGTTTAGGGTTTAAATTAGGGTTTAGGATTTAGGGTTCAGGGCCAAAAAACAACAATAAACATCAGGATTCTACAAACCAGGTTTCCCCGAATCCCCCCCCCTTATGTTTACGTAGTTTTGGGGTCGCAAATGTGTAGCTAAAGATGATAACACTCCCCAACTCAATGAAGGCGACATGTCCGCTTTGCCTAAGCCCTAAATTCCACCTGGGACTCTATTTACCTACAGCTTAGTAGTAAGTACCCTTAATTAGTAGATATAACCCAGAAAGAACTGTAGATGAAGAGATTCACAGGGACCCTACACCACTCCGGGCTGCGAACCCCTGCGCCCCCCCCAGATGGGCACTGGAAGCGGTACATCTCCGGTACTTCACCATCAACCAGCTTCCGGTAGCCATAGGAGATGACCTGCACATGCGTTCAGGGTTTAAGGTTAGGATGTTCCCCCTTATACTAGCAGTCCTTAAGAGGGATCATAGAACCCGCATCATATAATCCCAAGGAAGGACTGCTAGAATAAGGGGGAATATCCCAAGATTAATATTTAAGGCTTGTACTTGGAGGTTCATGGTACTTAGTAACTAATTATAACTGTACTTATAACTGTACTTATAACTGATGGTATAACCATATTAAGGCACTTAAGGGGCTTTTTGTGGGTTATAAGTACACTTATAATGCCATGAACCTCCAAGTAGGGTTAGGAAAACAGGCCCGGGAGCTCATAGAGAGCTTGGGGGCTTAAGGTTGTGTCAGGCGGTTTAGTGGGTAAGGCTTCGGGGTTTTAGGGGAAACCCTAAACCCTAAACCCTATATAAACCCTAAACCCGGAGTTCATGTTGGGATCTTCGCCCGAATGCACCCGAGTCTGGCAGATGCTGCTCATCCAAGTCACTGGCCTCGAGGGCTTGCTCCAGTCCAAGAACTTCTCGCTTGGCCTGGATGCCATAGTCTGTCCAAAAGGACAGCCGTTCTTGAAGGTCCCAACACCTCCTGCTCCAGCTCGCGGATGTGGTTGAGCGGGTGCCATCGTCAAGACTTTCTTCTTCTCGCGGATGTCCGAGACGCGGCTGTGTTTGTCGAGACCTTTCTGCAAGATCTCGACACAGCCCCTGTGCCATTTGTCCCATGCTCGTGTCTGCGCTCTAGGCTCTAGGGCAGGCTGCCGCAACTCACCAAACAGCCACAAGCGGCAAATTAGCCTCTTGCACGCTAAACCCTAAACCCTAAACCCTAAACCCCACCTGGCTCCTGCGTCTGAGGGCGGCGCGGGAACAAACTAATCCTGGACTTGCAGGGCTCTCCCGCTCCTACCTTTGAGGGAGGCTTAGGGTTTAGGGTTTAGGGTTTAGGGGATAAGGTTTAGGGTTTAGGGTTTAGGGTTTAGGTTTTAGGGTTTAGGGTTTAGGGTTTAGGGTTTAGTTGGAACAACACGCACCTGCTTCTGAGGGCGGTGCCACGCTACTACAAACTAGCAGGGCCAGCTTTCAGGAGGAACCTGCTCAGCATGCTCCATACTGTAGCATCGCCCGCATGCAGCCCCAAACGAAAACCCCGAAGTTGAAACCCTTAACCCAACGTGGACCACAGCAAGAGAAGGTTTAGGGTTTAGGGTTTAGGGTTTAGGGTTTGGGGTTTAGGGTTTCGGGTTTGGGGTTTGGGGTTAGGGTTTAACCCTTGAACCCACAACCGACAACCAACGTTAAACCCAGCATGCACCACCCGCTGCGGGTGCGCTAATGCTGGTGCATCTATAAACCCCTTGTAGCTCCCTAAACCCTAAACCCTAAACCCTAAACCCTAAACCCTAAACCCTAAACCCTAAACCCTAAACCCTAAACCCTAAACCACATGAATGACATGGTCAGACACGGCGCCTAGCGGGCTAAGGGTGGTGGGTGACTGCGGGGGCGGTCGGGAGTTTTAGGGTTTAGAGGTTAGGGTTTAGGGCCCTAAACCCTAAACCCTGAACCCTGAACCCTGAACCATGATGGGTTAGGGTTTAGGGCCCTAAACCCTAAACCCTGAACCCTGAACCCTCAACCCTGAACCATGAAACCCTAAACCCGTCCAAGAATCGCATTACACCCTGCAGAGCCTTAGGGATTTCGGGCTTTGGGGGTTAAGGGGTTCAGGGGGTAGTTCAGCGTTTAAGCCCTTTGACTCGAGGCAGTGAACCCCTAAACCCTAAACCCTAAACCCTAAACCTTAAACCCTAAATCCTACACCTTAAACTGAATCCTCCCCTCCCGGACGGCCTTGTGTTTCCTAGGCTGCGCTTTCACGCGCACGATGGAGATCTTGATCTCCGGCTCTGCCGCCTCGGTTCTTAAGGCGGTTTAGGGTTTAGGGTTTAGGGTTTAGGGTTTAGGGATTAGGGTTTAGGGTTTAGGGTTTAAAGGCCACGTATATAGTATAGGGGTACATGGACCCTTAGGGTGAACCCCAAAATTGTGCCCCAACTATACCGTAGGAAGGGGGGTCCGTCCTCCTCTGAAAAGATATTCCGTATGATATGAACTACGTAGACAAGTCGTTTCCTGGGTTTGTATTTAAGGTCCCCAATTGAGCCTTCAGGTTTTCGGGCATGGGGTCAATGTTTCGGATTCTGGCCTTTCAGGAAGAGCTCGGGATAGTAGGAATCTGAAGAACACACCATGTCAGGATGGTGTCCCAGCAGGACGGTGACGATTGAAAGCTGGAACACAGCAAACCACAAACCTTGAGGCCACTTAGAGGATAGGCGAGGCGTCTTCACATCTAGCCAAGAGGATACCCCTCGCCTACAATGGGTCGTCTGAGCAGTACCAGAAGGCTTATCATCCATGATACCTATTCTGGGCTCTAGCTTCTTGTGCCAGGTTGTGTCAGCAGTACGCTTTGACATAATGATAAGGACTCCAATAAGGTACCCCCATATTCGTAAGTTCCTAACCCTAAACCCTAAACCCAAAACCCGTAACTTTCTCAAACCCTAAACCCTAAACCCTAAACCCTAAACCCTAAACCCTAAACCCTAAACCCTAAACCCTTCGTGACCTTCTGTGGGTTTAGGGTTCATGAGGTGTATAGGCCCCGCACCCGGGCTGTGTCCTCCTCCACACCATCCCCGGCCTTGGCCGCAGCGCGCAAGCTGGGCGTGTGAGGTTTATATAACAAGTTTAGGGTTTAGGGTTTAGGGTTTAGGGTTTAGGGTTTAGGGTTTAGGGTTTAGGGTTTAGGGTTTAGGGCTTCGGGGGTTCTGGGACTTAGAGTTCATGTCGGGTTTAGAGTTTGGCGTTCATAGGGTTTTTTCGAGCTCATGTAGGGTTTGGGGTTTTTTCGAGTTCCTTCATCGGGTGAAGGGTTTATAGTGTTTGGGGGCTGTAGCTTCTGGGGTTTAGAGCTGATAGGGTTTGTAAGGGGCTATAGGGCAATGAAAAGAGTGCCCTTGTTGCTTCATCAGGGCTTTTATACGGGAACCTGACCTCCTTCAACATTGCGTGAGCTTGTTAGGGCTCTCTTGTGGGCCAGAAAGTTGAATTTATGGATGAGACTGGGCTGCGAACAAAGCTTATATCCGGGAATTTAGGGTTTCGGGTTGAGGCCGGGCAAATCAAACCTAAACTAAGCACCCTTGGGGCTTTAAGTTTTCGGGGGCCAGGACTCGCAGTCTCTTGAGTCACAGGGTCGCCTAGCATCTTTTGAAAAACAGAGGTGGAACCGTTTGGGCTTGAGACAGGGCTCAGAACCAAGATCCTAGCCCTGAAACAAGACTAAGACTGAAAGGTACTGCTGATATGCAGCCAAACTTGAAGCAATTTCCTACTGCAAACCTGCACCCTAAACCGCAAACCACTACTAGACCCAGGAGCAACCTAGGAATAAGAAGGGCACCTGTTTTGGTTTTAAGGGATCATAAGGGAACCCCAACCCCAACAAAAGGAGATAAGGGCCACTCCGGGTCCTAGTCTAAGGGCCGAGTTTGCAGGCCTTGGGGGGTGCTGGCAGCAAACTTGAAAGTTGGGAATGGGACGACTCGGTAATGCCTAGGTCCTAGGTGTTCTGTTTCAGGGTTTTAGGGTTTGGGCTTTAGGGTTTGGTTTCTGTTTAGAGGTTATTTGTTTGATGCCGTGGCCGTGGTTGCGGTTGCTGTTGCTGCAGGCATTTGGTCGACCTCGTCTTGGGCGGATGCAAGCACAAAGACGACAGTTTAAACCAACCTAAACCCTAAACCCTAGACCCAAAGCCTGTGGCACGTGCCCTAAGCCAAGGTCCCTTAAGAGCTCCCATGATACTAGGGAATCTTGTGTTGAGGGCAAACAGGAAGGAAACATAGAGAGCTGCCCATATGGTTTAGGATTTAGGTGTGTCACTTTTCTTGCCAGCAGCTGCACACAAGGCACTTCACAGCTCACATTGGACTCTTTTTGTGCTTAGGGTTGAGGGTCGTTTAAGGGGTCTCCTCCGGCCGCGCGCGACCTTTCAAGTGGACTGCTAGGAAAGTGTTGTGCGTAAAGTAATGTCCGTCACCCCCAAGAAATGACCCTGCTTTAGGGAACCCACCATGTGCTTGCAGGAAGAAAACTCACCAAAGACCTTACCATACCGGCGCTCCACTACGGGTGCAGCATCTGGACCATCATGAAGCCCCAAACCCAATAACAAATCCCTCTACTGCAGCCCGAAGACTAAACCCTTTTCCCAAACCTCTGGAGCTTAAAGCGTCCTTGTAGGGTTTAGGGTATCGATCGCGCTCTGGGCAAGCCCAGAGGCTTGAGATCAAAGCATCCCAAGACCCTAAAAAGCCCCTCAAAAAAGTGTCGAACCCTATAAGTTGGGATGTTCCCCCTTATACCAATAACAGTCCTTGACAGGGATTCTAGTGGGGAGGGGGTGCTCGAATCCCTATCAGGGGGAACATCCCAACCTTTTGGCCTTTAACCCCAAAAACCCTACACCCAAGAACCCTAAACCCAGGCCCTAAAACTCAGATACAACTGCACCGAGCAGCTGATGAAACCCTAAACTCTGCATAGGATCTGGGGCTTAGGGCCCTTCAACCCTACATTGACCTGTTGACCAAATGGCGCAGGAAGCTTCTATGTAGCTGCGATATGTACCTTCAGCTGTCTCTAGGGTTCAACTTGGGTTGACCCAGAGCCCAAGTGCATTTTGTGCATGTTCGGGTAAGGGCTGTGCAAGTAAGTAGTCTTATGATGACCTAAGGAATGAGGTTTTTTCTTCGCGCTTTGTTGTGTCCTAAAACCCCTTTAAACCCTTCTATGCCCATCTTCAAAAAGCAGCCTCGGAGAATGGTAGCGGGCAGCATTGTTAATACAATTGTAGAGTCGGGTCTCTAATGGTATTGCTACTCTACACCCAAAATTAAACCTAGGACTGCAAAGGGTGCCCTTTGTTATTTTGCTTGAGGTGTTGATAAAGGTAACCTAGAAGGTGCTTATTTTAAGGGAACCTCAACCAAAAAAACGGGAACAAAGGGCTAGTTACTTTACCTACAGCCTTTATGAGTTCTACCTACCAACTAAGGGTAGTTACTATTATTAAACTGTAAGTCATTCGAGTCCAGGGTAGTAGTTGTTCAGGCTCTTGCGTCAAACCGAAGACGCCCGGATCACGTAGCGAGTTTCGCTTCAGATGCCAAGAGCCCCATGGGCACGAGTCCTTGGCAAGGTCGTCGACACTCTTTGGGTCTTAGGGTACTTACATTCTCTCGAAACATGGGCCCTTACTTGGGGAACCCTCGTATACCCCTTATATCCCCTATACTACCCATTGGCCCATACTTCAGAACCCTTGAAAGAGGGGGGGGATTAAAGCAAATCCACAAACTCCCAACCAAGAAGTAGCCATAATCACGATGCCCTTAAACTCGAAGCCTCAAACAGGTAATATAGGGGCCTTGAACAAGTAGAATAGGGTTTTGGGGGTTATTGTAGTAGAATTACAAAGGGGCCATGAGGGAATGGGGGGCTGCGGCTCAGCCCCCCCTTTGGAACCCGCTCAAAGGCCAACCTTTACATCAACACGCTTTAAGCAGACAAAAAAATCAACACCATCCTATAAACCCCTCTTCACAGATCCAGTAAAAGACCAACCATTTATACTTTTGCAAGCCCCTCGAAACTCCTCTGAACTCTCTAAACCCGCAAAACAAAAGAGCTTCACAAACCTCTGTGTCTCTAGGAGCCACATGTCTCTCAAACCCCTGTAAACCCTACAAACCCAATTAGGGTTTAGGATTTGGGGTTAACACACCCTATAAAAAGTCGCCATAAAGAACCCTATAAACCTTGACGAAACCTCTACAAAAGCCTGATAGAATAAGCCACCAAACCACTGTAAACAAAACCCTATAACCCCGGAGGGAACCTCTAGAAAAGCCTGGTAGAATAAGGCATCAAATCACTATAAACAAAACCCTATAAACCCTGACGAAACCGCTAGAAAAGCCTGGTGTAGGGTTTAGGGTTTAGGGTTTAGGGTTTAGGGTTTAGGGTTTAGGGTTTGTGGAATAAGCCATCCAATCCATGCCCGGGCACCGACCCAAAGGAGAGCTTGGGTTAGGCTCAAACAGAGCGCCAGGGCCTGCCAGGTTTAGGGTTTAGGGTTTAGGGTTTAGGGTTTAGGGTTTAGGGTTGTAGGGTTTAGGGTTTTAGGGTTGTAGGGTTTAGCGGTTTTAGGGGTTTAGGGTTTAGGGTTTAGGGGTTTAGGGTTTTAGGGTTTAGGGTTTAGGGTTTAGGGTTCAGGGTTTAGGGTTTTGGGTGTTGGATCCCTACCTGGGACTCTGCTTACAGTACCTACAGCTTTCTGGGTTATACCTGCTAATTCAGGGTAGGTACTACTAAGCGGTAAGTAAATAGAGTGATATGGAAAGCCTTCGGGGCACCGAGCGTGCACCGTCCCCACTGGGGAGTCGGCGAGAAACAGAGCGATAGAGAGAGAGAGAGGGAGAGAGAGAAAGAGACAGGGGAGATGGGAGGTGAGAGGGCGGAGCTGCGATTCCGCACGATACACTAAACCTTGAGCCCCAAAACCTAAACCCTAAACCCCAACCTGGAACCCCAAACCCTAAACCCTAAATCCTAACCCCTCAACCCAGATCCAGCCTTGAGCATGTGGCATTCGCCCCCTGTGGCGGCAACCACGCCTCCGGAGCTTAACGATGCCGGACGATCGAGGTTTGCATCCCTAAACGTAAGCCCTGAACAATAAACCCTAAGCCCTACACCAAACCCTAACTGCTGAACCCTAAACCTTGTGACGATCCAAGACAGTGCCCAGTTGGAGGTTCATGGCCCTTAACAACCCACTTCTAACTGTACCTGCAACCCAAATATGACCATCCTAGGGCCTTTAAGGGGCTGCTGGCTATTAGGTACCATGAACCTCCAAGCAGAGCTGCACAGGGTGTCTGCCCGGTAACCACAATCAATCTGCCCCTTTTTGGCTTTTTTACACGGGAACCTAGAACCCCCAAAAATGCAGAAGGGTACTTCTCAGCTGCCAAGCTACCAAGCTACCCTAAACCCTAGACCCTAGACCCTAGACCCTAGACCCTAAACCCTAAACCCTAAGCCCTAAGCCCTAAACCCTAAACCCTAAACCCTAAACCCTACCCCGGTTGAGGGTCTAGCTCCGAGCCTGGCAAGGCTACGAGGGTGCTGATCAGCTGTGCCCCTGGGATGGCTTGGAGCTGCGGATGAGGCCCGTGGAGGAGGGGGGGGGGGGGGGGGTGGCTGGGCAGGGTTTAGGGTTTAGGGTGTAGGGTTTAGGTTTTTGGGTTTAGGGTTGCAGGTTTGGGCTAAGGTGTTGATCGAAAATTTGGTTCGGGGTATGGGGCTAAGGGTTTAGGGTTTCCGGTGGGCTGCCTAGGTGTGAGACATGGGCGCCCTCAGAAGAGGGCCCTCATAGCCCAAGCATCAAGGCAAAAACCCCTAGCCCCAAACCCTCAACCTCTGCAACAGCAGCCTCCGAGCCCCCTCCCTAAACCCTAAACCCTAAACCCTATACCCTATACCCTAAACCCTAAACCCTAAACCCTAGACGCTAGACCCTAGACGCTAGACCCTACAACCCGGCGTCCTGAACCTGAGTTGGGGGGCTGACCCACAGCATCGGCGATCGGGCATTGTAGTCCCCATCACCAACCCTACCATAAATCGCCTGCGCTTTAGGGATCAGACTCTCCATAATGAACCCTATGTAATCGAACTATAGAGGCCGCTTAATTGATGCCTCTGGGTGTACTAGCCGTGAACTCGCAACTTGAAGACTTGCCCTGCTGCCCAGTGTCCCGAAGTCTGCAAGCTTGCAGCAAGCCCAGCTATGTCCTGAAGGAAATTCTGTGCAGGAGACAGAACAATGATTCGATGTTTGGTCATCTTGGAACGGTTCTAAACTCTATGCCCTAGGCAACGCAAGGCATTATTCGAGGCGCGGCTGGGCGGCCTGGCTTGAACAGGGGTCCCACTTCTTTGAGTGGCCCCTTTAATCGGGATTCTACTACATTCGCTGGGGTGCGCTGCCTTTCCTCAATTTTTCCTAAGTTATGCTCCTTTTTGCGGGTTTGGGGTTTGGGGTGTGCAGGCCCCCTAGCGTCACAGGAAAGCAAGATACAAAGGGCTTAGGGTTTAGGGTTTAGGGTTTAGGGCTTAGGGTTTAGGGTTTAGGGTTCGCA